GCTTACACCTATGGATGGCTCTCCACTTTCTGATCCTACTCGCTATCAGCAATTGGTTGGTAGTTTGGTTTATCTTACTACGACACGCCCTGATATAGCATATGCAGTTCACATTGTTAGTCAGTTTATGGCTGCTCCTTGATGCACTAAAATCACCCTAACAAGTGTACTAGTCGCTCCAAGTAATATAATGATGAATAGAGTGTCGAACCCACGAGGATTGTGTCTAACTAAGTACCAAAATAATTAATCCAAATTTATTTGAACAATCAAATAGAAAGAAACTTTAATTGAAAATAATAAAAAAAAACAAATAAATCTAATCAAGATATGAAATACTAAGGCATTGACTTCACCATAATCAATCAATATAAATTCTGGATTATTAAATTGTTAAGTGTTATTGCATGTGATGGCGGATTTCCCTAAATTAATTAACTAGCTTTCTCAAGTCAAGTTAATCCTTCACTTGTTTGTTAAATTAATCATATCTCTATGTAATTTTAAACAAACTAATGAGCATTAGATTTTATGGAAACCTCTAGCTTAAGAAGGGGGAGCTACTAACTCTCTTCTCTTCCTCCACTACCACATGTGAGTTAATTACCTCTCGGTCTCATAGTCTAGCACATGGTTTATATTATTATTGGTCTAATTTACGCAATTCTTTCTCAAGTTCATGCATAAATCACTAAATCAATTGAAAAATGATCAGGCTTCCAATGCATTAAGTTCAATAATATAAACTCCTCATGCGAATAACTTTAATTGAAAATATAAAATCATAAAATCTATATTGAATTGATTAGGTTACATCGTAGCCCTACTAGAATAAATTAGTTTATAGTAAAAAGAATAAAATATGAAATCAAAGTTATGAACATTCAAATATCAAACAATAAATAAAAACCCAAGGAAAAACAAAACCCAATTTGAGGAAATCGAACTCCTTGATATTCTATTGTTGATGAATGGAACCTCAATCTTGATCTCCAAGAGTGCCCAAAGAGGGCTGCCACCAACCTCTCAAAGCTTTCTTAATTCTGAATTTGGATGGGTATTTATAGGATTTTAGAAACCCTAATTGAAATAGAAATAGGACTTGGAACAGAAATAGGAAACTGAATTTTGGATGCTGATCGCGTGGTGCTGACACTTTGGATTACGTGTTGACACAAACTAGGAAACAGAATCTGATTCCTAATGCATGGTATCGATACCCCGATCATGTGTCGACACTACACCCATGTCGGGTTTCTGGTCTCCTTTTGCAATTTCTTCAATAGTAAAATAGCAGATTTGGTTCCTGACTTCTGGATTCTGCACAAGTTGATCCTCAAGTCTCTGATCTCTTCAATTTACTTCTAAAAAGTAGGATTTCTTCCAATTAAATCCTTTCCTATACA